TGGTGCTTTCTAGGACCCCTCAGAATGGCAGTCTCTTCTGAGCCATTATCTTCACAAACAGGGCCTTCGCCCCGGTCCTCAGCCCTGCCCCACGGTACACAGCTCCCAGTGTTGCCTGTGTGTTCCCAGAAGGGCCACTGCATTTTCAGCTGTCCTGCTCCTGAACCCTCAAACCCCTCACGTGTCCTTCCCACCACCCACTGCCGCAGGAACCCTGGAGACCTCTGACAACGGTGCCTGTGCCTATGGGACCCCCTAGACACTGGGGGTCAAAAGAAAGAACATTTCTATAGACTTACATGAGGGCTTCTAGGCCTTTGCTTTAGCACTCCCCTTGAAAATACCTTCCTCCTTGAGCATCAGGCCACAAAAGTGCTCTCCTCACCTGTATGTCTGTCATCTGCCAGGTTCTATGTTAGTCATTTATTCATATTTAGCATCTCTTATAACCTGGCAGAACGTCTTCTACTCTACCTTAAATCCTAAAAGGCGGTGGTGACTTCCATCAACCGCAGTCCTACAACCTTGCTAATTCAAACAGCTTCAGACTGTCCTCACCACCTGAGCAATTCACTCCTCAAGCCCAACCCTGGAACTCTTCAGCTGGTAAAGCCCTCTGACCCCACTGAACCATCACCATTGGAGCTCCACCCTTCTAGCTTTGTTCAAACAGCAGTACAACAATAAAGTAAAGTAGAGAATGAGTTCTTCCAAATTCAGATGACGTACTCAGATGTCAGAATGGAAACAAATACTGTAATTAGCCTCAGGTAAAATGTTTTGTTTCCAAGGAAGAAAAAACAGTGGGAAGAACAGGAAAAAATATGAATATCGATGGCCTTGCCTCCTGTAAAAACCCCTGTACCCTCTTTGCCGGGGACACAATTTAAGTACTTCAGGACAAATTAATTGAGTGCATTTCATTCCTTCTTCAAGAGAAGATGGCATTTCTGCTGAGCCTCCACTGTCTTGCAAGGAAGGATAAAACTGGAATCTTCATGCAACATGCTTTCTCCAGGTGCTTGTGGCGAAGAGCCCATCATGTGCCAGACTGGTCTACTCAGCCACTGCCCCGTGGCCAGCCCACCAAAGGCAAATTGAAGGTGAAGTGCTCTGTTCCACCAAAAATGTGAATGTACTGTGTCAGACTGTAGCCCTTTCCTTCTGACATGGCTGAAACAGGAGGCTGGGAAACTTGCCTTATCTAGAGTTGAGTCTCAGATCTTGGCATTGTCCAGAGCAATCCAGGAATTCAAGTTACACTAATGTAATCTTCCTTCCTGTGCCAAAAACAACTTTTGATGGGTCTTATACACTTACTTTGTAGGTCAGACATTCTCCCCCAAATGTGAGTGTTGGTGAGCTAGCATCAACTAATTTCTGAGAATTTCCAGGGCAAGGGAATAGCCCCAAACACTTCTGAATTCTGCTGACTTTTTGTTGAATGGCTAATGCCTCCCTCAGCTTTTGTTGTCAGCAGAATTAACCAGTCTGTATCATTTTTTATAGATTGTGAACAGGGAGGACCTCAAGTCTGACCCCTGTCGGGCCCCAGTAAATCTCACAGCGCACAATTAAAAACACTCCTCTGGGCTTTGTTTGTCTACCAGTCCATCACCTCCTCCCATGCACTCTGGACACTAGCAGAACTTTTTCATCTGAGCTTCACAGTAAGATATTTTTTTAACATCTGCAGAAGATCCAAATAGGATATTACATAGGATCCAATTTGTCATGTGACCTCCAGAGACATCACATTGTTGTATGGGAAAATAGGGTTCTTCTCTCAAGTGAAAGACGCTGTATTTCCTTCCTGCATGTGCCCAGTAACATCTCCTTTTTTAACCACTGACTCTATGGGATTGCCTCTCCTAAACTAGTCTGCTGAGGTGTACATGCCTCACTTGTTCTTTTATTTCAGTTTGAAATAAAATTGTTCAAGGTAGGAAATAATGCCACTGCCAGTCCTACCTTTATTTATTTGGGGGCCACTTGGCCTTGTGATCACTTGGGTTTTCAGATCCAGGATATTAAATTGGAAATCTCTTCAGAACTTTGATTCTTACAATGTCTGCTCCTGGGTCCACATAACAGTAGTATTATTATAACAACACCAGTTATGTGTGTTATAGAATGGAATGAGAAATAAATGCATATACATTTTGCAGCGAGACCAAGACTTCAAAGATGTTTTCCATACAGTGCTTACTTTACAACCCTCACCCCAGAAGCTTTCAAGGTACATATTCTGTTTTCTCTTTAGGAAGTAAAATAGAAGAGCGCCTTTCAAAGGCACTCAAAGCAAAGACGTGGAGCAGAGAGGGCCTTGCCAATAATCATATGTTAGGTGGGGACCCCTGAGCCTTGAGCTCAGAGCTCCTCCCTTATTGTAGAAAACAAAACAAAGTGAAAAACATTGGAAATAATAAAGAAAATTATAATGGCCCCTGATAATCCACAGCCATGGATAACTATTATTCATATTTTGGTGAATGTCATTTTTTATTATGAAAGACTTATTTTACATGATTTGGATCATAATTATATATAATTTGGTATGGCTCCACACAATAATACAAAACAAGAAATTTCTAACATAAATAAAAACCCTAACATATTTTTGATGATCTGATGCTTTATTAACAAATATACCATAATTCAACTAATTGCCTTGATTTTCTAGAGTTTTTAGTATTTTAAATAATGTAGCAATGAATATCTCCCTACAAAGTTTTTTTTTCCCCGGTATTTCATACTTAACTCAGGATAAACTCATACAGACCTAGACTAAGGGTGTGAATATTTTAAGTCCCATGATATTTGTTGACAAATTTTTTTTATAGATAGCATAGCTTGTGCCAATTTACATTTCCTCCAGGGACTTATTAAGGCAGCTAACTTGTTAGATTGTCATGAGCATGAGTTATTCTAATTTTTTAGCATTTAATGCAAATCTACAGAAAAGATACACAAGTAGTATAATAAAATCTTGTACGTTCTTTGTTTAGATTCATCAATTATTAGTATTTTGTGATGTTTGTTTGCATGATGGTTTCTCCAGCTACTTATTATTTGATGAACCATTTGAGAATAAATTGCAGACCCTCTGTCCCTAAATATTTCACTTTTATCTTCTAAGAAGAATACTCATACCATCATATTTCAAATTAAGCACATTTAACATTAATAAAATATTATCATCCAACACAGAGACATACATTTAAATTTTTCTAGTAAGTTTTTCTGCAAACTGCCCTTTACAGCATCTTGTTTTCTGACCTGGAATCCAATGCAGGATGATGTATTCTGTTTTGTTGTCATGTCTTTTTAATCTCTTTAATTTGGAACAGTTTCTCAGTCTTCATTTTTTATGACACTGACACATAGGAAGAATAAGGAGAGGTTTTAAAATGTCCCTCCGTCGGGTTTTTCCAGGTTTCCTCATAGTTCACTGAAGTTATACAGCTAGGCAAGAAGGCCGTAGACCCACGTGGTGGTGTGTCCTTCTCAGGGTGTTACACACAGTTTGTTGTCCATCTGTCCTGCTTTTGGGGATGTTAGCTTTAGCCAGTTGGTTAGCGTGATTCTACCATGCTTCTCTTCTTTACAAAAATTACATGTGCTCTATGGGAAGATGGTGGAGGCCGTGGACATCTCCTGTCCCCCAACAAACTCTCACAGGTTTTAGCATCCATTTTGACGTGCCTCTGAGATAACTAAGGTTGCTGTAAGACAATGATTTTTCTAACTCTATAATTCCTTCTGCATTTATTATTTGCCATTTTACTGTAACAAAAACTTTCTATTCTTGCCATATTGCATGTATGTAGTCAGTCACCTGTTCATTAATATTTTTTCATATTAGTGTGGATACATGGATTCTTTTTATATTCTGTATGTTGTAATCACTGCAAGTATTATTCATGTTGATGCTGAAATTTTCCCTGACTTGATTAATGGAAGCCCTTGGAAACTTGCTCCTAAGTTTCTTGGACATGTCCTCGTCATTTTTTTAGCCATTCCTTATACCCAGATCTTCCTTTACACTGCACCCCTCATCCCCCACAAGGCCATTCCAGCACTCCTCTCACAGTAACCTGTTCTCTTTCTGGGATTGGCCATGTATCCAAGGAGCTCTGTTTATTTTAGTGGAAAGTAGAATTAATTCTTATTTTTTAACAAAAAATGTTCTGTTTTATTTTACATTTCTTTGCTTATTAGTGAAGTTTATTGTTTAAAAATATTTATTCCTTGCTTACATTTCTCCTTTTGTTATTTTTTTCCTAGTTAGCATAGTGTTTTCTCTAGGATGCCCAGATTATAGTACAATGGTAAGAATGACTTCTACTATGATATGCAGAGGAAACCATGTAGAAGGATAAGAGGAGTATGTAATTTTGCTATTCTAAATGGTGGTTAAATCCCCCAAGACTCTTCCTAAAATGATGATGGACATGGAGAGCCCACTCACACTTTAGGACACCCCTCACTAGAGTCAAACTCAGAGCTTCAGCCCAGAGAAGCTGAAACCATTCTCCCGTGCTTTCTGCATTACAGTGGCCAGAGCCTCTGTAGGTGGAGGGATATGAAAAAGTCTTATTGGTGAAAGAAACAGTGGAGGTTGGGGAGAGGAAAAGATAAGTTTGCAGACAAAGGACTCTCTGACAGTGGAGGAGGCACCCATAAAAGGGAAAAAGAAGGCTGTTCCAGAAGCAGTTACGTGGAGAAAGGAAGTGTCCCTTCTCAAGCAGTACCAGCAAAGGAGAAATCATAAACCAGAGTGGCAATTTATAAAGAACTTATTTTACGAAGAACTACCATGAATTTGAGATGTTCTATAAACACATATGGATGGGAGAGATGATCCCTGTGATTGTTATAAAATAAGCATGCATGCCTGGAAATATCAAATTGCATGGTGATGACTCTTAAAATGAAATTATACAGAGAAAAATTAAATAGATTCTATTTGAGGGCATGTATATCAACCATATACTCACATATCAAACTGTAGAAGTCGTATCTGAGATGATTTTTTATGTCAGAAGCTCTTTCATCCTGCCCACAGACATGGATGGCCGCTCCGGATGCCACTGCTGGATGCAGACGTAGGAAAACTCTCCACTCCACCTCAGTGGCCCGTCACCCGGGCTCTTCACTCACACTGGCCCTGCAGAGGCTGCTGCAGAAGCTCTTTGTATTTTCCATCTCCTGTGAGATCACAGAATGTATTATCCATTTAGGTGAATCTCAGCCAGGGACACATGCCATCCAAACCTCACCTAAGTTTTCAGAGGTGAAGGACATTAAGTGATTCTTTCACAGTCACTACCTTGCTTCTCTTTTTCTCTTGGTGGCTTTTCCTTCTTTGACAAGCATCACTTCCTATTGCTCACTGGGTCTCCCATGGCCTTTCTTCTCACCAAGTCCTCACAGCCTCCTCTGTATTACATTTCTGTGCTTCTGACTCTTTTTTAAAATGATAAAACTAATTTTTTTTTGATAATACAGTTGTTTCAGAAAATTTGGAAATACACATAAAGTAAAGATGAAAATGGAAGCTACCTATAATTCTAGCATCCAGAATTAACCACTGTTCACCTCTCCATGTGTATCTTTCCATTCATTCTTTCTCATTCATGTGTCTTCTCTATGTGTCTTTATATAATTCTGTTCCCCTCTTTCTGTGTCTATCTCGATGTCTATGTGTTTATATGTGCATAGAGAGAGAAACAGAGAGAGAGTCTCTCCAAAGTGCACATACGCACAAGCTAGGAATAACCTTTTGTTTTGTTAAGCCACTGAGATTCCAGGTTTATTTGCAACAACAGATGGAGATCTCCTAACTCATGCAGTTTTTTGGGTAGGGTAGTTGACAGACAAGTGCATGCCAACTGGACAGGAGGGTGAAGAAGAAAATATTCAGATGTCACGTTTAGTCAAGTAATATGGTCACATTGTCCTGTGTGATAAGTAGGCAACCCATTTCTGTGTGCTTCAGATCCAAATATATTTTAAAGAATTAACCAAGGATCGCCAAATCAGAGTCAGTCTGTCAATCAGTTAGTTCATTCATGTATCCATTCGAATAGAATGTATTAATTTCCTGCCAGGTGTTACACTACAGGATAGGCACCAGAGATATATCAAGGATGAAGGTGTGGTACTTTCGGGGTGCTTATGGAATGTCGGGAAGAAGGTCAGCTGCTTTACAGCTCTGTCAGCAAAAATAGCTGTTTTCAACACAGACTTTCTGGGGAGAAGGAAGAATTAAATGAAATATTTTAATAGTCCCACATTTCATTATAGCCTATTCTGGTTGTTTTTCTCTTACCCTGAAAAACTACTACTCTTTAAAAATCATTGGCCTTAAATGTGCTTTTTGCTTCTAGCATCTAAGAAAATTCTAAGATCCATAAAACTGATCAACATTATCAGAGTGGTAGGGGAAAAAGGCAATGTTAAGGGCCCCGTTAAACCAGTAATCAGGAAATCCACACACTTGATGGACTCGTCTTGGTGAACTGTGTTTCATTAGAAATTAAAATTCAGAATTTTAGAATTTGGGGGAAATTGGGATTCTAATCTCAGAAGCCAGGGGGTTTACTGTTTGACTTGCCTCGGTTTGCTTCCCAGAGCCATGACCAAGCATTACAATGCGTGTTGCAAAGACAAACAGGATCCTCACCTAAGGGAGCTCACCGTCCAGCGACAGACAGGACTGTGCTGCGTCTCAGGCCCTCAGAGCAGGGCCACCTGCCTCCACAAGAGGCGCCGTGCTCACCACGCGACTGGACAGAAAGCAGTGGTTTACCCAGCATCCTTTCCCAGGAATGTCTCTTCCCTTTTATATACGGTGGAAATGACCCTTCTGCCTGAAGCTAAGCATGGGGAACCAGAAAGCCTGATCCTGAGGCCAGTGTTCTGCAGTTTGGTCTTCTGCGCCCTGGAATCTCATACCACAAATGAGAACTTCCTGACTGAATCTTTATCCTCTTATCATTCACCTTTCATCTGTATTGGAAAGTCAATGAAGAAAAGACTCAGAAAATAATTATATATAGCCTTCAAATCTAGGAAACATTTAGATGGCTCCATCGTCGAGGGGAAAGTGATGTTTTAGAAAGAGGGCTGAACTTTTGGGAACGTGATATGGCATTCTCCTGGGAATGGGGGGGAGGGGCAGGAACATTTGAATCCTGTCCTAGTCTCACAGCTCCTTCCTGTAAAGTCCCCAAAGGAATTATTTTTTTAAAAGGGGCTACAGCAAATGAGAAATTAAAGCACATTTTATTATTAGCCTGGCCAATGCCAAGTAAACAAATGCAGAACTTTCTGGTACTGTGTCTAGGACACATGGCATACTCTCAGATCCCAATCCAGATCTCCAAACTCTAAATTGAATATCTTATCTTGCGATCTTAACATCCTTGGGATGCTCACATGGAGCAGGAGACAGAAGTAATAAATAAGCAAAGTACTGCATGGAAAAAGAAATAAAATAACCTGGAGCAATTTCAGAGACAGAATCTTTTATAAAACAAAATAACAAATGAGAAGTACTCTAGCATAAAAAACTGTTCTATCATAAAAAGTAATCTCTCATCATCAGACAGATAGGTATCCTGGACCCAATAACTACATGATAAACATAGAGGGATTGTGGGTTCCAACTTCAACCCTGAGAGTAATGGCGACCCTGGGCCCTCTCACCCCACTGGCTATATGACTGCAGAAGAAAGATGTTGCATACGATGAACTGCCAGCTAGCGAATACAGCTCCAGCAGCAGCAGGGCATTAAGCACAGTAAATTTAGAACCTTATTCTCTTAGAAAGAAGTGAGAAATGGGACAAGAGGATGAACGGTCTGCTTTGCCAAGCCCCTCAAGTTGGGGATTGGTTGGGAAAGATGGAAAGGTTGTCATTTCTCACACTGCCGCTGTGAGCCTCTTGCACGTTGCAGGAGATTCATGCAGGAACGTTGACAAACATCACTGTTACCTATTGAGTTAGACATTTCAGTTCTCACTATGTGGATCAGGAAAATGCACCTCAGAAAGGTGATTTTGACCAAGATCTCATAGTAGTAAATGTGATCTTAGTTTTCTGAATTCAGAGTATGCTATTTGTTTTTTTTCCCCCCGAATCTGAGGTTATTATACCAGAATTGCACTGTTAATTAGAAAAGGTCTGGAAATCATTTGATTTTTTTTCTTATTAACCATTGCAATTTAGTCGGTATGAAAATATTCAAAATAGATACTGAGTTATATTTTCTGTACACAAGTGACATAAAGCAGGCATTGTTTGCCATGCCCTTTACAGCATTCTCTAAAAGACATCTTGATACTGTCAAGAACAGAAACTTCTTCACACTGAGAACTTCTACATCCTTCCAAAGAAAACATTCTTTCCTCTAAGTATTCATAATCCTTTATTCATATGCTTACTCACCCCAAGTACAACCTGAGTTAAAACAACGATTTAGTGGAAACAATTGTAGGAACATGCACATATATTTTGCAATAAATATGTAATATATTTACTTCCCATTGTGGGAAGTATGACTGACCTCATTAACAGGTTTCAGAAAAATGAGAGTTTCCTGATTTAGGCAAAAATGTTTATGAATATGCTTTCTAGCTTTTATATAATTTTCCATCTAAATAGTGATACATATGTGTATATATATATATGTATATAGATAAACTTCCACATTTGTGTTATACACAATATGAATATTATGGTCATTATTATTATTGAGAAACAGGTAGACGTCTGCTTTCTGCTTGGAATATAAAGAGCTGGAAGGATTGTCACTCCCACCCTTCCAACACTAAAGCAGAGCCAGACAAACTACAAGTTCACAACTTCTCTTGACTGCATAAAGAGCCGTGGCTGCAGGGAGAGATGGGACAAGAACCATCACTCACCTGGGACACATGCAGTGAGACACCAGTTAGGAAATGTCATCCAGTGTAATCAAGAGATTGGTGGCAGCCAAGTATGAGCTGGTAAGAGAGTGTGGAGCTCCTCAGACCTGCAGATGGAGGAGGAGTCTGCACCTCCCTGCTCCGCACACTCTGCTGGGTATTAGCAGAAATGACTGGTCAAAGCCTTGAGAACGTGTCCCTCAAGGTGCAGGCCTAGGCCCCGCTCTCTTCTCCCTGACAAAGGAACACATCCTCAATCTACTGGGGAAGAAAGGCACTGGTGAAAACCAACTGCATCTGGACAAATGACACAGGAAGAAAACCTGCACCGGGGCAGGTGTAGAACCAGGACACAGAACCACAGCCAAGGGGGGGCAGATGCACAGAGATACAAAGTAGGATGGAAGGAAATGGAAGCCTGTGGTGCACCGGGGGGAACCCCACAATAACAAACCTCAGACCCGTCTGTTCTCTTGACTAGATGAACTCAAACTCCCATGTTAAAAACATAGCAGAAGGAAATGTATGTTCATTCTTATGCACAAAAAGTGATTTACCTACACAAGAAGTTTAGCTTTAAACAAAAATTTACAAAGTATTTGAAAAGGTAAGGAAAAAAACAACATAATGCCAAGAGGTAAATCAATCAACAGAAGCAGATTCAGATATGACACACATGATGGGAACTATCTGAAAAGGAAGTTATGAAATAGCTAGAGGTCACTATGGATTATTTCCAAGCTACCAAACCATTACGTTTCTGTGAGATAGTGTAGTCCAGGCAGACTAAAACATTTTACCCAATAAATAAAGTTGGTTCCTGAAGACTCTGTTGTGGATCTTACAAGAACACCTTTATCATTCATTTCATACATATTTATTCACTGTTGATTGTATTTAGGACCCAATCCTAGGCCTTTTCTTAAAGACAGGGACTGTCCTCTTAAAATGAACACAATTATATGTTAGATGCCACTACTCTAGACCCTTTTGGACCTCAATATTATATCATAGATCTTCTTGGTTTCATAGCATCATGTGTTGACCTTTCTTAGCCATCTCCTCATGTACCTTAGTCCCATTTAATTATATGTAGTAGAACATGCTCTTACCACAGCATCAGCTGTACACTTAGAAACATGCAGCCTGAGCCACAGATGTGTCCTGATGACACAGCTCCTCCATCTCAGACTGGTAGGAGGTGAAGACCATCACTGTCCACTGACCCCTGACATTTAATTTGGCCTAGACTTTAGTTGATGAGTTATCACTG